TCCATACATCACTACACCTGTGCCCTAAAGGAAGTAATAAAGTTTGCCCAGTTCTTTTCGTTTGCAACACGCTGCTATCCATTGTCAGTAGCTGTGGCAGTCTAAAAGTATGTTGCTTTTGTTCACGCCCTTCAGAAAGTCTTCAAAGACATTTCCGAAAGGCGAAATTCTGTAAAGCAGGCCATATACCGCTCTCTTCCTTGCCGAGGGAAAAGGCAAGTGCCAAGAATGTGACAGGGAGTTATTGGAAAGGGACCCCACCTGAGTCCTTGAGAAGCGGCTCTGTCACCACATATGACAAGGTCACTCTGAGAAGCCCCTGTTCTGCGTTGGAGGCTTTCTTTGGGATTCCCTGCTTATGACCTGGGCGGGCTCAGGCAGGCAGAATTTTGGACAAAGAAAATCATACGGGCCGGCTGGAAGAGTGGCAGGGTTAACTCTGAAGGATTAGCGTAGCAACATGTTCTCTAGGCAGCGGTGGGAAGATTCTGCAAAAAAACCCCACCAAATGATTGATACTGCTGCTGCTAAGTTTTGGCTGGGAATTCCCTGCGTGAGGTTGAGACAGGTATAGTCTAAGGACGCTGCCGTTGAGAAAAACAGCACATGGGCACATCTAAGCAAAACAGTCTTTTTTTGGGGGGGGAGATTGAACTGTGAAAATGGTAGCATTTAAACTATTCTTTCTTTTTTTAAAAAAAACTGGATGCCTTTTGGTTGAGCATGCAGCCACAGAGGCAAGGAGATGCTCTCCAGTGCAGGAAACAGTCCTGCAGATAGGAAGGAAATTATCATAAAATTGTGCACCCAACTCTCAAACCAGAGAGCTGCTCCAGAAGGACACCATGTTTGTTGGAACAGCTAAAAAATAAATAAATCAAGGCCCCGTTCTCGTGTTGCTGCCCTCCAGACCTCTTCAGGAGGGAGGCCCACAAAGAAGGACACCAGATAATGATTTGAAATATTTTAACATAGAATTATAACCACCACCCATGTGGAGCTGTGCCACAAGCAGCCATTCAAACAGATGTGTAAATTGAGCTTTTGTTTTGCCTTAACCGCTAGAACGCTGCACTAGATGCAACAGCACAGACCACTGCTTATAGAATTCCTGTAGCTCAATAGGACAAGGCTGCCTGGTGTATTGTTCTTGTTTTCCTTCTTCCTTTGGGGAAGCTATTCTTCTGATGGAAGCATGGAACGCCTTGGTTTAGTACCAAATGAGGGATGAACTATCCCTGTCAATCCGAACCTCACTAGGGACTTATTCCATGGTGGGGTGATCTTAACACCGCCTACTACCGAGCCATTCCCAATCCACGCTGCTGCAAAAACCCAATAGGGGGCATTACTTGCTGTGTATGTAATCCTGCTTTACACAGACGAGGGTTTGTGTGCAAAACACCAGCTGTGCGTTGTGGAAAGAACTACAAATACAGAGACACTTTGACAATGATTGGCAGCCAGTCCAGATTTTTTTCGCTCACCCATGTTAATGAAGTTTAAATGATGGTAGCATCTTCTGTGTTCCCTTTGTGGACACAACTTGCATCCTGTCACTTCTCTGCGAGGCCCGCACGTTTTTGTCTCTGTGCCTCGCTTGGCATTTTGCTTTTCCAGGAAGCAGATTTTGGCATTTGCAGAAGTGCAGCAGCACGACTCTTCCAGCCTGTTAGGGTTCCCAAGGGCCCTCGCTGAGCTAACTCCATATGCTCAGAATTGAGTTAGAGTCTCAAACTCATCAGCTTGGCTTCAGAATTATTAGCTCTGGAATTATAATATACTTCAGCTTCTGTGTATTATATTTTCCGGTTCCTGAACCATCCGGGCCCTGTTGTGCATATATGGTCTCTCACACACACACACACAAATAGAAAGAATAGTCTTGGGACTTGGAAGCCATGGCCATTAGCTTCCTTTTGCTCTCTCAGATGACACTGGAATGAAATGGCCCAGAACTCAATTCCTTAGTAAAAATTTCCTGAAGAAAGCCATTTCAGTGTAACAGGCCCGTTGTGAGGGAGCTGTCAGCCCTCTGTGACTTATCCACTTCCGAGAGACTCGCAACATCAGACAAGGCAAGAATCCAAAGGCCTGCTAGATTAAGTGGTGTCAACAGCAGCACTGTTGCGCTGAGGAATGCCCAGCACGCAGGCTGAAGGTGGCATGCAATCCATCTTTAAGGACTGTCAACAGATCTTCTCTGTTCACACCTGTACACCAGGGGCACAAAAACTCAGGCCTGGGACAAAAGGTGACCCTCAAGCCCCCATCTCAAAGCAGTGGCACTTTCCCCAAAAATGCAAATTAAGACTTATCTAATTAGCAGTGGGAAATGCTTGCTGTCCGAATAAGGCTAGGCACTTCCTTTAAAGGTTCCGGGAGCTGATTCAACTGTCCTTGCCACCATTCAGTCCTGTGCATGGCTGCAGCTATGCAAGAACAGCCTGCTTAAACCAAGGCTGCTTTCTCTTTTGCTTTGCAAAGAGAAAGCAGCGTTAACTGCTCAGAGCAGTGTCAGGACAGACACATAGCCCCAGGGCGCATGCAAAGTTCAAGCTAAAGTTTGAGCTTCTAAGTAACAGCACACAAAGCCAGAGTAAATAGGGCTATTATTATTTTTTACCCGCCTGTTAAAAGCTTCCAAGGGCAGGCTTGGGAAGAAAAGCCATAATCGGGGCCGCCGAGCTCCATACAATCGTAGACGGAGCTTAGGAGCCAGACAGTCAACAGTCCTGGTTAACTCTGCATTATAGCAGGCCACCAGGGAATCAGCCGAGAGGCCATCAACATGGCTAATGCATCCCCTACCACTCTCTGGAAGCCATTTTGGCTCCATTAAGTGGCGGGGGTGGACCACTCGAATCGGTCCTACCTCCCTGCGGAGGGGGAGGATCGCAGAGAAGTCTAGTTGTACCAGGAATTGATCTAACTGTGGCACTTCTTTTGTTCCACTCGAACTTAGTGTCAGATCACTAAGGTAAACCCCAGATCTAAGGCATGTCCATGGCTGTGTGTAGGGCCAGATTTATTCAGGGACAGCCCCATGGGGGGCATGCTTTCAAGGAGTCCTGAGCAGCCCCTTGTAAAGTCATGTTGGCATGGATGTTAAAATCACCCAGGACCACCAAACTAGGTGTCTCCAGGAGGACATCTGGCACTGCCTGAAGCAGCTCGGGCAGGGAATGCTTGGTGCGGCAGGTACACCGAAAGGAATTTTGTACTGCCCCTATTGCCCCCTTCCGGAACATGCACTCAGAGAACTGTATCTCCCCAGTAGAACACCTGGTGAAAACCAATGACTTTTTACGAATCACTGCACCCACACAACCTGCGTCGCTGGTGGACAAGCAGCAGCAAGAACAAGCCCAGCTTCCAGGTCAATTCCTCCACCCACAATCAAGTCATGGATGGCAGTGGTCTTATGAATCACTGGCCTGCCATTGCATTGCTCTAGTAGTGCACCTGGAAGAAATGTTTTAGCCCTGTCCTCACCCTGTTGGAAGGGACGCGGGTGGTGATGTGGGTTAAACTAGGACTTGCTGATCAGAAGGTCGGTGGTTCGAATCCCCGCGACAGGGTGAGCTCCCGTTGCGTGGTCCCTGCTCCTGCCAACCTAGTAGTTCGAAAGCACAAGTGCAAGTAGATAAATAGGTACCGCTCCGGCAGGAAGGTAAACGGCGTTTCCGTGCAGCGTTTTCCGTTCGCCAGAAGCAGCTTAATCATGCTGGCCACATGACCTGGAAGCTGTAGCCCAGCTCCCTCGGCCAATAAAGCGAGATGAGCGCCGCAACCCCAGAGTCGGCCATGACTAGACCTAATGGTCAGGGGTCCCTTTACCTTTACCACCCTGTTGGACAAGGTTTCTATACCCTTGTGCAAATTACGGTAATTGAAACAAACAATGTAGTTTATTGCACAAAACTCACATATACATGTACAAAACTCACATATACGTACATTAGTAATGGATATGTCCTCCGCTATTTTTAAACAGCATTTAAACACAGTTTGGCATGGAGTCTACTAGTTTTGAACAGTCACTGTTGATTTTCAGATCCCTGTTCCACACGTGAATCAGCGCCTGAATGAGCTTCTTCATAGTTGTACATTCTACAGCACGGAGGCGACTTTTGCATATGGCCCACAAATTATCAGTGGGATTTATGTCTGGGGAATTCCCTGACCAATCAAGTACCTGCATTTGCTGCTCTGTCATGAATTTCTTCACCACTTTCAATGTGTGACAGGGGGCTAGGTCCTTCACAATATCCCAGTACTGTCAGGATATCTCTTTTCCAGCTCTGGAATAACTCTCTTTTGTAGAACCTCAGTATATTGTGGTGAGCGCATCATTCCTTCTATTGGCTGCAGGCTTCTGACACCATAATGATCAACTGACTTTTCATGTTTGTTTTGAGTACAGGATTACGAGTAAGATAGAAAACATGCTTTCTTCCAATTAATTTGCACAAGGGTGTACGTGCAGAGAATGGTTTTTCCTTTTAAGTAGAGAAGCAATCAAAACCACAGTCTGAAAGTCAGCTCAGGAACCTGTACATGGGCAGGTTATAAACCGAATAAGCAAAATGGGTCCATTCTACCATGCTGATCCCACCTCATTTTTCCTGCCTACGTAGATTGAATCACATATGCAGCTTGTACGTGAGTTGGAGAGGTAGATCACGTTTACAGAGACATACAGGCATGCACGCTTCAAGTCAAAAGCTGTAAATCATTCTGAGATAAACTATTTTGTAACGAAGCCTAATTTTCTGTATTTCCTTTGGTGTACCTCATCATGATAACTGCTCTTGCTCTTCATAACGCCAGCTGAAATTGGCATCCGAGGCTTCCAGTTATCACCTTGTTGGGAGCCATATATTACTCAGCAAGTAATGAGTTTAGCAATCAGCTCAGCGAACTGATAACAGACACTTTCCTCTCTCTCTCTCTCTCTCTCTCTCTCTCTCTCTTTCTTTCCCTTCCCCCCTTCAAAGGACAAAAAGAGTTATTCCTGCCCTGTGTGCGAGAAATCTTTTACGGAAGACCGACTTATAAAATCGCACATAAAGACAAACCACCCAGGTAAGACGAGCCACATTAATGGTCTTAAATGTAGCGTAATAGTGGAGCCGTGCTCCAGACTAAGCAATGGATTTTAGCTGTGTTGTGTATGCTGGTTATCGTATGTGGAAAACAGCGGTCCAGCCCTATAGAGTCCTGATACTACAGGTGGTTCCTTAGTCGGAGCAGCTCATGGTTATTAGTAGCAACAGCAGCAGCAAACTCCTGGTGCCTCGCCTCACCTTGCTTGCCTTATTTTGAACTCTGCTTGGCCCTGGCTCTACACCCAATCTGCATGCTCTAGCCTTTGCCTTGGCTGCCTGGACCATTTCCCTTTGCTTCAGCAGCCAAAAACCAAAAGAAGAAGAAGAGTTTGGATTTGATATCCCGCCTTTCACTCCCCTTCAGGGGTCTCAAAGCGGCTAACATTCTCCTTTCCCTTCCTCCCCCACAACAAACACTCTGTGAGGTGAGTGGGGCTGAGAGACTTCAGAGAAGTGTGACTGGCCCAAGGTCACCCAGCAGCTGCATGTGGAGGAGCGGAGACGCGAACCCGGTTCCCCAGATTACGAGTCTATTGCTCTTAACCACTACACCACACTGGCTCTCAAAATACAGACCCCTGCTGAGGCCTGACGCTTGGCCAATCCAGAGGCTTCATCCTGCCTGCCAGTAACAGGAGGTGATATTCCCAACCCCTGTTCCCCTTTTAATTCTGAAGAAAGGCCTGACCACTCAATCCAGATTTGGCCCATGAGGTTCTCAGCTTAGGCCCCAAGATCCTTGGCAATGACCCTGCAGGGTCATCTCCATTTGAGTTTTTGAATAATAATAAATTTTATTTATACTCCTCCCTCCCCAGCTGAGACCAGGGCTCAGGGCGACTAACACAATACAACTTAAAAACAAGATTAAAATACAACATTAAAATGCAGCCTCATTTCAGTAGAAACTCAAATCAAAAAACTTTTTGGGGATGAGAACGTCAAATCTTCACCAAGGCCAACTATCCAGACTGGTCCTGCGTGGGCCAGAAAAAGCCAGGGAAGTCCCCAATTAGGAGTTCCATCACAGAAGGAGAAAGGAAAAAAGAAAGGGGGGGAGGGGATCAAGTTGATTCCAAGCCAAAGGCCAGGCGGAACAACTCTGTCTTACAGGCCCTGCGGAAAGAAATCAGATCCTGCAGGGCTCTGGTCTCATGAGACAGAGCGTTCCACCAGGCCGGAGCCAGTGTTGAAAAGGCCCTGGCTCTGGTTGAGTCTTATCTAACTTCCTTAGGGTCCGGGACTTCTAGGGTGTTGCTATTTATGGACCTTAAGGTCCTCTGCGAGGCATATCGGGAGAGGCAGTCCTGTAGGTTAAGCAGAGGTTAGATGGCCATCTGTCATGGATGCTTTAGTTGAGATCCCTACATTGCGGGGAATTGGACTAGATGACTCTCAGGGTCCCTTCTAACTCTGCAATATACACTCAGCATATGCATCTTTTTAAAAGGCATGCAATTAGCTTGACTATTACACACTCTTGGGACTCAGCAACATGGTCCCATCACTTCATTATTTCTAGTTGATTATAGCCTCACATCTGTATTCTCAGGCCTTTTGGTGTTGTTAACGACCTGCCTGCTTGGGTATTTTGGGCTCCTCAGGAAATCCCAGGTGAAACCTTAAGCAAATGTTATGCGCCTCTCAGAGAGCACCGAAGCTAATAAATGTTTGGTTAGCGAAGCTGCCCGGTTCGGAATTGGCCGCCTGAGAGTGCTCCCTGCCAGAAAGGGGGGGAAAACCACCACCCATTTCTGCAGCAATGGCGCAACCAGCCTCTTAATTTGTCACAAAAATAGCAAGTCACCATGGAGGCAACTCAGCACACAAAAGCAATGGCCAGTCCTTGAAAAAGCTGTAAAATAATGAAGCAGTTTCCTTAAGACTGCACAACCCCACTGGAAGGCTGGTTAGGAGAGAGGGAGAAAGAAGAGAAAACAGGGAAAAGGAAGCCCACTGAAAGGATGTGGCAAGGAACAATCTAAATACTATGTTTTCTCATTATTGTCATGTGTTTCCCGAAGGCTAAAGCTCCCCCCCCCATGTGATTTTTTCTCTCCACCCTCCCCTCTCTCCAGAGGTTTCCATGAACACCATCTCCGAGATTGTTGGCAGGAGAGTTCAGCTGAAAGGGCTGATAGGAAAGCGAGCCGTGAAATGCCCCTATTGCAATTTTTACTTCATGAAGAATGGATCAGACCTTCAGCGTCACATCTGGGCCCATCAAGGTAACTGCATCGTAGCTGGCACTTAATCTGTTTAAAAATGGCGATCACTTCCTGACACGCCGATGCTCCGGTTATGGCCCAGCTAGACGCATGGAATTCCACCACACAATTTACTAGCAGCTGTTTCGGGTGAGGGGTCTTTGAGGTTAGGGACCATGTCATGCAGCTGGTGTTTTCCCCAGAAGGGAAGGCGGTAGCTGGGGGGAAAGGTGTTAATTCACAGCTGCTGTTCATCACGTTGCTGTTGTTGGCATCAGTCTGTCTCGAGACACAATGGAGTTCTCTGGAGATGAAGTCAAACGGCTGTGTTAGCAGCAGCAAAGTGAGCTCCACAGGATGCAAGCCTGGGCAGCATGTAGAGAGTTCCTGGGCTGCCCAGAAGACAACACACACACACACACACACACACACACACTCAGCCTCACTGATGTGGTCCAAAGGTAAGCACAGCAATACAGTTGGCACAAGCTTGGCTGATTGCAGAGATACATAATTTGGGCGCTTGTTACCAAGCTGATACATATGAGAATTTTCTAGGAAACTCAGGCCCTTCCAGACCTTCCAGTTCATAGAGCATCCATCCCAATTTGCTTGCAGGCAGATTACCGTACTTTTCCATGTATAAGATGTTATTTTTTTCCTTAGAAATTATAGGCAAAAATTGTGGGCAGTCTGATACACAGAAAGCAGAGGGGGACGTGCAGTTGGTGGCAGCAGCCAGCAGAAGATTGGCAGTGGCGATTGGGCGTATGATTGGTTGCTGTGGCAAGGCCTGCTGACGATTGGCTGCGGCTGCGGCAATTGGGCGGTTGATTTATGTCAGTGGCGAGGTGTGCGTGCAATCGGCTGTGGTTGAATCAAGTGGGCAGGTGGGCTTGTGGCTGCGAGTGTGCAGGCGATCGGTGGCCATGGCGATGCGTGCGATTTGCAGTTGCTGGCAGGTGTTGAACCCCCCCCCCCCAAAGCTGAACAACTCTGGGCAACCCCCCCCCTCAATTTTTTTTGTTGCAGTCCCAAAAAATAGGGGTCGTTTTATACACGGGAAAATACGGTATGTCGGTTATTTAACAAGCATTCATTCCAATTTGCAGGGCATGTTAGGGAGTTTAGATGACAATGCATCAAAGCAAGTGGCACCCCACACTTCTCAGTGCATTTTCTCCATCGCTTTGCTTATCACAAAAAGTCCAATCTTTGCAGGTTTGTTGCACATGACTGCCCAATCAGCAACTTGAATTTGCTGGTGCTTTTGAATCGCACCTGAAAATGCAGTGGTCTGGAAGTTCCCTGTGAGGCTCACAGTCCTGGTTCTTCACCCTCGAAGCCCACTTCTGTGGGCATTTGCGTAGAATTGCTGCTTTCCCAGTACTTTCGTCAGCATCAGCTCGTTAAGCCTTCCACCCTTCGGACTGGTTCACACTTCGAGTTGCAGCCAATGTTATTCATACTCAGAGAAGACCCATTGAAATGGACGGACATAACTTAGGGCCGTTAACTTCAGTGGGTATATTTTGAGTAGAACACAACCCAGAATTTCTTAACGCAAGGACCGGCAGCTGAAAATGTAAACCGACTCTGTTCAAAGGTATTGCACTTTGAGGAGGTAGCAGGTGGTGGCCAATTAACCAGAGATCTATGATGATTCAGGCATGCAAGTCGTCACTTGATGTTGCAGTCATCAGGTGATGAACTTGCATGCATGATCTGCCCCTCAGTCACCATCCAAGGAAAAGCGCTTACTGTAGGTCAGTTTTTCCCAGACTTGGGACTCCAGTTGTTTGTGGACTACAGTCCCCATCATCCGTGACCACTGCTCCTGCTAGCTAGGGATGATGGGGGTTGTGTTAGTATTTTCATTCTCCATTCCTGGATCATATGCTCCTATGTTTACTTTTCTGTACTGTTGCGTATGGGAATGGAAGTCAGTCTGAGATATGTCCACTCCTTGTTCTCTGTCTCTCTTCTGAGGGAACTGCCTGTGTGAGAAGACACAGCTCATCGCTCGTCATGCTGCTTTTGTTTTCTTTGCTGTAAATAAAGACTCTGATGCTACATCAATTTATTATTATTATTATTATTATTATTATTATTATTATTATTATTATTACCTGCCCATCTGGCTGGGTTTCCCCAGCCACTCTGGGCGGCTTCCAACAGAACACTAAAATACAATAACCTATTAAACATTAAAAGCTCCCCTAAACAGGGCTGCCTTCAGATGTCTTCTAAAAGTTTGGTAATTATTTTTCTCTTTGACATCTGGTGGGAGGGCGTTCCACAGGGCAGGTGCCACTACCGAGAAGGCCCTCTGCCTGGTTCCCTGTAACTTCACTTCTCGCAGTGAAGGAACCACCAGAAGGCCCTTGGCGCTGGACCTCAGCTTCTGGGCTGGATGATGGGGATGGAGATGCTCCTTCAGGTATACAGGATCGAGGCCGTTTAGGGCTTTAAAGGTCAGCACCAACACTTTGAATTGTGCTCGGATATCCGGCACAATCTCGCTTTCGCTGAACTCTGCTAATGCGTGCTCAACATCTACGGATATGGGTCGAAGTGTTTTGCAGGACTGGCCCAGAGGAATGTCCCAATAGGTTGTAGACCAGAAACAGCTGGAGAACCAAGTTTGGAAAACACTGCTGAAGGCAGTGCAGAGAGCACCTTTGCAGCATCACAGATATGGCAACAGGAGAGGGGTGCAACTTTTAAGATTTGCAATATAAACACACTTAGCTAGAATTAAGCCCCATTGGCTAATAAAAGATTCTTCCAGGTGGTACATTTAGCTACAGCACTGGCAGAATACGTTTTTAACATACCATGAACACCTTTGGTGAATGCATAGTGTTCACCAGGACAGTCGCATCTGCTAGGACCAATTTAGTTAATGCTGCAATTAAACATCACTTGGAAGGATATTCCATCTGCTTTTTTTTTTAAAGGAAAAATAGGCTAGCACATGCCCTGCTGGCATAGGGCTTCTACATTAATTCCCACTGCTAACTTTATTTATTGCATTTCTCATTTATAACATCTTTGTCATGATAAATGGCAAGAGGTATATTTCCACCTCGCCCCCCCCCCCTTTGTTGCTCTAGTACTCCGAAAGCAGAGCTCTGACATAAGTCAGCTTTTTGAAGTCTCCTGCTGCATCTTCTATTGGAGCTACAGCAAAGTCTATGTAAATCAGTTGTTTGTGGCTCATCTAGTTCAAAGCTACCCGTTTTAGCGATTTTCTGCCTCAGCAGATAAGTCAAAAGTTATTCCGTAATTAATATTTCGAATCCCTTTTGTTTTTGAATTAATGAATCACAAGTTAGTCCAGCGAGTATTCCTGCCTGATAATATCCACACACAAAAGGGTAAATTAAATTATTACCGTCATCCGTGCAAAGGCTGTTGTTTTCAAGCCTGGATATTCTCAAAGCTCCGCATAGAAAAGTAAACTGCTATGACCTAGCTGTGTTTGTGTGTGTACACATAGTGCAGTCTCTCTGCCTCATATATTCCACCATCAATGCAGAAGAAAAGAACTGAAACTCTCCTGCTCCTTTGCATCCATCATCCCTCTGTGCATTCCCTCCTTTTTATTGCAGCAGCAGCAGCACCACCCCCTGCCCTTACTGCCTAGGAATAGGGGAGACTTGCTCATTGCAATCCGCTATAATAATAATGGGACGCGGGTGGGGCTGTGGGTTAAACCACAGAGCCTAGGACTTGCTGATCAGAAGGTTGGCAGTTTGAATCCCCGTGACGGGGTGAGCTCCCGTTGCTCGGTCCCTGCTCCTGCCAACCTAGCAGTTCGAAAGCACCTCAAAGTGCAAGTAGATAAACAGGTACCGCTCCGGCGGGAAGGTAAACAGCATTTCCGTGCAGTGCTCTGGTTCGCGGCTTAGTCATGCTGGCCACATGACCCGGAAGCTGTCTGCAGACAAACACCGGCTCCCTCGGCCAGTAAAGTGAGATGAGTGCCGCAACCCCAGAGTCGGCCACGACTGGACCTAATGGTCAGGGGTCCCTTTACCTTTACTAACATGAACTCAGGATCCTTGTTCTCTACCAGGGATTTTAGACATTGAAGTAGTCCTAGAACATTGCCTTCAAGTGGCCATTCCTCATATCCCTGCAAAGTTTTTGACTGGTCATCTCCAGACAGTCCTTTCTTCATTTCTGTTCTCTTTTTTTCGCACAGGCATCAAGCCATTCAAATGCTCCCTGTGCGAATATGCCACTCGCAGCAAGAGCAACCTGAAAGCTCACATGAACCGCCACAGCACTGAGAAGACCCACCTGTGCGATATGTGCGGGAAGAAGTTCAAATCCAAAGGCACCCTGAAGAGCCACAAGCTCCTCCACACCGCCGATGGCAAGTAGCTCTCTATCAGGGCTGAGACCACCCAAAGCCCTTCCGCAATGGTTTGCATCAGATTGCTTGTTTGAAATTGCAAGCTAGCAGCGACTCAGAGCAATGCAGCGGTGCTGCATGGAGTTAGGGTGGCTTGCATAGAAAACCCTATACAAACTTGGGCCGGGGGTGGGGGAGTTCTGCCCCACAGGGCTAATTAGACCTGGCACGGGTTCAGATTTGGGCCTGCAAGGTTATTTCCCCCTAGCCATGCCCACCTGCCCCACAGCTGATGTGATATATGACATCAGGTGCAGGGCAAACAGAGTTGTGGCTGCCAATGCACAACTGGAAGTCTTAAAGGGCACTCTTGATTTCCCATTGCACATAGAGAACAAGTGTGCTGGGTTCAGCTGCACTGGGGTCATGGCACAGGAAACTCCACTGGGCTTAGGTTACCACTTATTAGCAGGTAGGCAGCGACTCCAGGCCTGTTGGATCTTGCAACCAATCCTGAAGAAGGCAGTAACTCCAAGGCTGCTTGTCAACTAATAGCTGCTGGCTTCAACCCTCAGCTGATCAGCGGGGCTTCAGAGCGCTTTGCCAAGACCCAAGTGGTGCTCTGAAGTCCCAACCAATATCATTTGATGCCAAGTAATTGACAAGTCGGTGGTAAGGGAGATAAAGACCTGTGCTACACCATGCCACACAGAGGCCCTGTGCATGGAGTGAATCACTTGGCCCCTTGATATCACAACCTGCCCAATGACGCATCTAAAAAAAACCCCAAAACACCAAGGTGTTAAGATTCCATCTGCTCACACATTGTTACCTCTCACCTTTGTTTCTTTTCCAACACTCTCTAAAGATGCCTAAATGCAAGCAGTGTGTTTTGCACCAAGTTTTATTATATGCATGAAGAATAGAGTTGCATTGCTAGATTAGATCAAAGATTCACCTAGCACTTCCTGTCAACTGGCCAGCCACTTCTGTTCTTGGGAGGCTGTTTCTGCATAACTCAGCAGTCCCCTGTCCAACATTTTTCTATTCCTTCCTCTTGCCAAGAATGGCACATCAGTACAGAATGAATCTCTGTCCGAGTTTATTGCTGTTCACAGTAACTAATGAAACACAGAGCATGACTTCTAAGTTCAATTAGATAGTGAACGTTCTAAACATCAAGCCTTTTCCCTCCACCGTGTTTTATGGGAACTGTCAGCCTTATGCATAAGCTTCTCTGGAAATCCATCAACAACTTAAAATTTAGAGGAGAAAACTTGACAAGTTAGTATAGATTTGCCTTTTCAACTTGCACTTTGGGGTTCCCTTTTAAGTTTTTGACAGCTGTTGCTGAAAGGATTTCAAACAGAAATTCTCTGTCGTGGTAATGAAGGAGGAGCTGGAGTAAAACAGACCTCTGTGCAGGTTTTAATATGCTCGCATCATACTGAGAGTCTTCCACAGTTTGCAAACAGCTGAGAGTTAAAGAGAGAAGGGCTACCGATTTAGCTTCTAAAAAGAGGCACGACAGATGCTTTAAATGCTGTAAACTGTTCTGCAGTCCAGACTTGTATAGCATAAAGTCAAGCAAATAAATAAATGATGTGAAATGTTAAAAGGGGCATTCGGGAAGAGAATTGCTTGCAGCACTTATGACATGCTCAGGTTTATTTAAAGTTTCTTTTATGCCATCAGGATTCAAAGTCTGTTACTCCCTTGTGTTTGTTTGTTGTCCTATGAATCTAAGGTATCAATACCAATGTACATAAACCAGGAGTTATACAGTTTTTAAAGCCTCCGGCTTTACTTTTGAGTATATTGGGGCAAAGCTAGATGTGGTGTAGCGCATCTATGATCGAGATCTCCTATTGTCAATTTTAAAATGTTGTGAAGCTTAAAGAAGCCACAGGGAAGGGGTTATGAGAAAGAGGGGGATAACCTTTTCCACAGCACCATTTGCTAGCCTGAATTCTCCACCACATTTGGGGAAGGTAGTTTAGATCAGGAAAATGTTGTGGTGGAAGGATTAAAACACCTCCTGACCTATCACAGCTGCCCCAACTTGATTTGCCACCCATGAAAACCTATGGGGGAACTGACTCGTTGATGTTCCCTTGTCACATTTAATTAACCTTTTAGACTGTGCAAAGACCTTTGAAACTGTGGACTTTAAGAGAGGCAAAACCGTTCTAGTTTTGCCTTAGGTGGCGATTCTCCTTCAGGACACTTCATTCTCTCAAGTTCATCCCCTCAATAAAACAGATTCAAGTGATTTCAGAGATTGCCATCTGAAGGCAACTGACCAAGCATGCATCAAGAAGATGCGTAAATGGAAACTCGACATAACAGTGAAACCGTATCATAAAGGCGGGTAAATCACAGCTTCAGAAACAAATAAAAGCAGCATTATAGAAACAGAAATTCAGGAATAGCAGGGTTGAATCATGACGGTTGCTACTTCATATCTGTTTTCCTCTGTTTAAATGAGACAACGCATTTGTATCTGAATTGGTTGGTTTTCTGTTTCAGGGAAACAGTTCAAGTGCACAGTGTGCGATTATACTGCCGCACAAAAGCCACAGCTGCTGAGGCACATGGAGCAGCATGCTTCGTTCAAGGTAAGGAGGTTGCTGCTGACTTGGCTGCATGAACGCTGTGGCGCCAAGCAGTTATTGCGGGTGCAGCACATGGCAGCGGTTGAGATACTGCAGCAAACTATGCCCAAGGTTAGAGGGTTCAGATTTAGATGTCCCTGGATCGGCATGGGAAGCTGGAGCCAGAGAGATCCTTATAACGTCTATCTTCTCTCCCCCCCAATGGGCCAAGTTTGGCAGGTGGGGTTGCCCACCTCCAAACTCACCTGGCATTCACGATGACGTCTGGTGACCCGGTTTTGCTACACAGGTTGCAGTTAAACATACTGGTACAGTGGTGCCTCGCAAGACGGAAATTAAATCCGTTCCGCGAGTCTCTTCGTCTTGCGGTTTTTTCGTCTTGCAAAAGCACGGCTATTAGCGGGCTTAACAGCTATTACCGGCTAGCGGGCTTAGCGGCTATTAACGGCTTAGCGGCTTTAAGAAAAAAGGAAACAACTCGCAAGAACTCGCAGCACGTTTCGTCTTTGCGAAGCAAGCCCATGGGAATTCGTCTTGCGGAACGACTCAAAAAAACGGGAAAAACCCTTTCGTCTAGCGAGTTTTTCGTCTGCGAGGCATTCGTCTTGCGGAGCCTAGAACTGTGTGGGGTGCTTTAAAGCCCTGATATCCAGCTGATTATCCATTTCTCCTGATTTGATAGATACCTCTTCTGTACACTTCTCTCCCCTGCCTTTAGTCTTTAAGTTTTGTTTCACTTCCCCGCCCTTAAGCCTCAGATCCCAGGGCTGAACTTTGACCCTCCTGTAGCTTAAGGAGCTATGGCTCAAAACAACCTTTGCATTGGGGATATTAAAACAAAAGGCCTGCTATTTTACAACAGAAACAAACCCCCAAAGGCTAAGCAGCTACATTCTAGGTGATGATGATGATGGTGCTTATGCATTTTATCATTGATGTGTTCTAGCCCTCTTCAGGCATTCAAAAGAACGCATCTTTTAATGTATCCAGGATTGCATATTTATGCAATTTACTTTCTCCATGCTTGCATTTTTGGGATTCGTCTTTCCTTCCGATATTTACAGAAAGAATTCTAGCTAGCTACAGTTACAATACAGTGGTACCCCGCAAGACGAATGCCTCGCAAGACGGAAAACCCGCAAGACGAAAGGGTTTTCTGTTTTGGAGGCGCTTCGCAAGACGAATTTCCCTATGGGCTTGCATCGCAAGACGAAAGCCCATAGGGAAATGCTGGCGGTCGGGAGCAAAGACTTTTGCCCACAGCCGGCCTTCAGAAGAGGACCTCTTCTGAAGGCCGGCGGGGGGCAAAAGTCTTTGCTCCCCCCCGCCTGCCTTCCCCCCGCCTGCCCCCGGCGATCTTAAAATGCTGGCGGGCGGGAGCGAAGCGTTCGCTGCCGACCCCCAGCATTTTAAAATCTCCCCGTGTCCCGGGAAGGTTTTAAAATGCTGGGGGTCGGGAGCGAAGCGCTGCCGACCCCCAGCATTTTAAAATCTCCCCGTGTCCCGGGAAGGTTTTAAAATGCTGGGGGTCGGGAGCGAAGCGCTGCCGACCCCCAGCATTTTAAAATCTCCCCGTGTCCCGGAAAGGTTTTAAAAGGGGGTGAGCTGCGGAGCCCGCCCCCTGCCTGGGGGAGATGTTGGCAAGCCTTGCGCGCAAGGCTTGGGGCGGCAGCCTGCATCCCGAAGCAGGGGGTGAGCTGCGGAGCCCGCCCCCTGCTTCAGGCAGATGTCGGCAAGCCTCGCATGCCCGGCGGGAGGTCCCGCTTAGCCCGCTGTTCCGAAGCGGGGAGGGGGGCAGGAAGACCTGCCCCAGCCGCCCCACTTTGGAACGCTGTTCCGAAGCGGGGCGGGGGCGGGAACACCTTCTGAAGGCGGGCAGGGGGCGAAAGTATTTGTCCCCCCTGCCTGCCTTCCCTGGGGCTTTTAAATCGCCCCGGACAGTGGAGAAGTCCTCCGCTGTCCGGGGCGATTTTAAAATGCCGCCCGCCAGCATTTTAAGATCGCCCCGGACAGCGGAGAAGTCCTCCGCTGTCCCGGGGTTTTTTAAAATGCTGGGGGTGGGAAGAAAAGCCCTTGTCCCCCCCCCCCAGCCTTCAGATGAGGTCCGGGGACAGTCTGTCCCCGGACCTGGTCTGAAGGCGGTTTCCCTAGGAACGCATTAATTGATTTTCAATGCATTCCTATGGGAAACCGTGCATCGCAAGACGAAAAAACCGCAAGACGAAGAGACTTGCGGAACGAATTAATTTCGTCTTGCGAGGCACCACTGTATAATATGATGCCATCTGTATTTTATTGTTTTTTGTGGGCGTCAGTAAAGATAAGGTAATTATTTTCTTTTCAGTAATTCTGCCTTTTGCTCTCAAGATATTAGACCAATATTATTTCAGCGAATGAACATGTCCACCTTAAACAGAAACATGCTGGCATTTCTTGTGTGCATCCCAGAATAGATGATGATAAAACATGGTCATTTTGTATAGTTTCTGAGGCAGATATTCCATCTGGTCACCATTCTGGCATATGTTTAAAAAGATGCAAATGAAGAATGCCTGGCCAAAAATTTCATGAACAAGGCGAATTCTGAAGTCATTTGAACCGATTGTCAGCACTGAACTATTTAAGTGGCTGGGACATAATGTACTGCAGTGGCTGATGCAAGGCTGAGAGTGGAGGATTGTGTTAGGCTGAGTAAGATAAAACAATAAAAAGTACGTTTCCGAGTATAATTCAAAATGTTGGTGCTAATCTATAAAGCCCTAAACGGCCTCAGCCCAATATACCTGAAGGAGTGTCTCCAGCCCCATCATTCTGCTCCAACTCCAAGGGCCTTCTGGTGGTTCCCTAACTTCAAGAAGCTACAGGGAACCAGGCAGAGGGCCTTCTTGGTAGTGGCACCTGCCCTGTGGAATGCCCTCCCACCAGATGTCAAGGAAATCAGCAACTATCTGACTTCTAGAAGACATCTGAAAGCAGCCCTGTTTTTGATGTTTGATCTTTTATTGTGTTTTTAATGTTTGTCTTTTTAATGTTCTGTTGGGAGCCGCTCAGAGTGGCTGGGGAAATCCAACCAGATGGGCAGGGTATAAATTAGTAGTAGTAGTAGACTGAATGGTGTGTATGTATAAATGGGACTAGCCTATCAACACCCTCCAGGCCTGTCTCTCAAGGCCTTGAGACTCTCCCCAAGCCACAGCCCTCAGTACCCCTGGTGTAGGTCGCCCTCAAGTGCTTTTGTCTGCTAGAATGGGTCCTTGGCCACATACACAAAAAGGTAAAGGTAAAGGTACCCCTGCCTGTACGGGCCAGTCTTGACAGACTCTGGGGTTGTGCGCCCATCTCACTCAAGAGGCCGGGGGCCAGTGCTGTCCGGAGACACTTCCGGGTCACGTGGCCAGCGTGACAAAGCTGCATCTGGCAAGCCAGTGCAGCACACAGAAATGGCGTTTACCTTCCTGCCAGTAAGCGGTCCCTATTTATCTACTTGCACCCAGGGGTGCTTTCGAACTGCTAGGTTGGCAGGTGCTGGGACCGAGCAACGGGAGCGCACCCTGCTGCAGGGATTCGAACCGCCGACCTTTCGATCTGCAAGCCCTAGGCACTGAGGCTTTTACCCACAGCGCCACCCGCGTCCCCTGGCCACATACACAGCACCCTTCTAAAAAGCAGCGTTGTACCAACCATGCCTTCCCCAAAAGAATCCTGGGAACTGTAGTTTGTCAGGGTTGCCAAGATTTGCTAAGAAACCCCTATTCCCCTCGCAGAGACGCAACTCTCAGAGTTTCCCAGAAAGAAGAACTGGTTGTCAAGCAGCTCTTGCAGCTGTAGCTCTAGGAGGAAGATGGGGGGGGGTTGGGTCTCTTTGCAACCCTCAGCACCCTTAAACTACAGCTCCCAGAATTCCTTGCAGGGAGAGGAGAATGACTGTTAAAGTGGTATGATAGGGATTTCAATGTATGTTGCTGCTGTGGCTCTCTGGTAGTGCTTTTGCTTGTCTGTGTGTGTGTGTGTGTGTGCGCGCGCACACACACACACATGCAGAAAGCTCTTACTTTAGTGTGAATAGAACATAGCGTACAGTTCAGAGAGTCAAATATATTTCTCTGCCTATTTGGCATCTGTCCTCAGCAGTCACTGCATGGTGTAGGGAAGGGTTCCAAAGCCCTCTTTTTAAAATATGGCCTTGAGCTATCACAAGTGATAAATTGAACAACAGTGATTAAAATGTATGCGTGGGCTTTGTGACACCAAGCAGGTACTTAACAATCTCTCACTTTGTTCCGCGTGTGGTCTCTCCATGACCTTCTTTGCATTTCTGTATTTATTTATGTGTTCATTACATCTATGTTCCTTTTCTCTTTTTACCAGCACCCTCGACGTCCTTAAAAATGCAATATTATAAATAATAAATGCATGCTTATATATATATTTAAAAATTGTGTGGAACCCTCCCGCTTAATTTTAGTTCAAGTATGATCGAGAAGCCTGCCCTTCAGAATGACAGTTGTTTTATATTTCTCGGCATAAATATCCTTAAATAGAATTTGGTGCCTTTTGAAGAATGTTCAGAGGGAAATGAATAACAAATGGTCAAATGGTACAGAAAGATAAAGAGGATCGATGGGTTCCTACTCATTAAACTCAGTTGGGAATTGATTTCAACTTACCATACATAGTAAAGCAGGTATAGGCAAACTCGGTCCTCTAGATCAGTGTTCCCCAACCTTGGGCCTCCAGCTGTTTTTGGACTACAATTCCCATCATCCTTGACCACTGGTCTTGCTAGCGAGGGATGATGGGAGTTGTAGTCCAAAAACAGCTGGAGGCCCAAGGTTGGGGAACACTGCTCTAGATGTTTTGAGACTACAATTCCCATCATCCCTGACCACTTGTCCTGTTAGCTAGGGATGATGGTAGTTGTAGTCCAAAAACTTCTGGAGGGCTGAGTTTGCCTATGCCTATAGTAAAGAAATGGAAGCGAAGCAGATGCAAAACAGTTGATTTTTAAAGATTCGCTGATGGGGGGGGGGTGGGAACAGTTCAAGTTGGCACTCGGCCTACTTAGGCTGTCCAGCTAGATAGTAAACAGAGACACTTCCCATGAGGAAGATGGATGAAGGAAGATGGACTGGGTACCAGTTTTGTTAAATGCTGCACTGATCACCTTGAACAGAGGACCTTAGCCTGCTTAGAGACTGTTGGGAAGCTACACATTGATTTTTTGCCTTGGTGCCACCACTTGTGCTATGTCTCCATAATCCATTCTCTGCCTGTACATTTCTGAACAGAGCTACTTTCACAACCCATACCTTGGAAGACTCTGCTGTTTCTTCTTAAGCATCCTTACCCATCGCATGCTGCCCTTACCTTCTCAAGGCTTGAGGCAGGGAGTCTGGACCAAAGCAGTATCTATCGTTCCCCACTAATTGGCTGCATCGCTGGTTACAGTGCCTCTCCACAGGGATGCCCTCAGGTACTAAGGTCCAGTTACAAAAGATGCCTTCCACCTAAGCACTCAGCAACCAGGGAAGGGTTGCAGATGCAGCAGCTTCCAAGAAGCATCTTCCAAACAGAGGTCAAGCACAGAGAGTCATTCAAGTCACCAACCTAATCCAGAGATAAGGCCAGGAAACAGTCCAAGGTCAACATCACAGGGAGTTCAACTAAGGCAACTTCTGCCACCAGGGACTAGAAGCCATAGAGCTGTGTTGTTTCTCACCAGTGGAAGACGTACAAGGGAGGTCTTATATACTCAGGCCTCCTAAACCACATCCAAACCACAGCTGTTGGCAATGAGCAGGGACGACTTACTCACGAGTAGACCACCAACACCGGGTCTTGTAAATGCATACTGAGCCATCGCTCTTTGGCCCTAAAAGTGTTTGGTGCCAGTGCTATTGAGGGCTTAGGGCTATTTCACCTTCTCCTTGTGGTTCCAGAAGTTCATCATTAGGTATCAACCCAGAGGTCCCCTCAAGGGAATTCTCAGCATTGGATTCAAGGAGCCCTGCCAGCTCCTCAAGGTCCCCAACATTTAGGTCAGGGCTAGACATGCCAGTTACCTTGGTATCTCAAGGTTCTCCGAATGCTGGTTTTGCCTCCCAGTAACTTTGCAAGGTAATTCGCACTGTAAAAGGTGTCTAAAGGTACCTTGAAAGCTTCTTACAGATAAATATCAAACAGATAAACAACTGCACATCTTTCCAAGGACATCTGGAGGCAGCCCTGTATCAGGAAGTCCTTATTATTTGGCAGTTTTGCTGTACTTTTATTATGCTGGAAGCTGCCCAGAGTGGCTGGGGCAACCCAGTTATATGGGACAGGGTATAAGTAATATGTTGTTGTTGTTATCCTGCCTGAATGAGGAGTTGGACCAGAACATCCCACATTCAAAACCAAAGCTGTATCACACCGTAACATTGCAAGTAGCTCTGTGAATTGTTGTTGCTAAAGGCATCTAAGCTGGAATACAAAATCGGTCCAAAGATATTTTTTTTTATGACCTTTAGACCATTTAAAGGTCAAAGCAGTTTTTATTGTTAAATAGCCAAGCAGGCAACTATGATATTTCAATAATAGGCAGTATTGTGGCTGTAAGAAATAGCCTTTTGGAGATATTGATAGTTCCTTTCCACACACATTTTGCAGGATACACACTGAAAGACAGATTTTATTGTTGCAGTGTTCTCATTTCTCAGTCTTTTAACCCTTTTGTACATGTGAAAACTCCACAGAGCCAACTATATTTTTGTGATAGGACTGCTGAGTCCTGACCACATGCACAAGGAACTGTTTTCTGATGTGGCCTAGTAAAGAAGAAGGACTGAAACGCCTTCCTTACACCAATTACCTTTCAGCCTCAATTCCCCATTGTTAAAATGGCAATATGAACAACTGCTTCTCAGCATTGTTGTGCACCCGAAACATGTTTCAGGAATGTTAATGCCTTGTTATGTTCAATATTCTAGTCAGGAAACCTATTTACATGGATTTATTTGAGGTCTCTAAAGGAAACTTTGTAGGACATCTGTACTGATTGATTTTTGTGAAGTGATTAATTTTTTGTAAAGCACACGATGCAATTCTAACTGGACTAGCTCTGGAGACTGAGTGCCTCTGTTCGGTCAGGGGAAAATAGTATTTCTGAGCTTTCATAGTTCCCAGACAATGATATTTTTTGCAGTGGAAACCAGTATACTGATTGGTAAATAGACCATATTGCATTGTTCTCTTCCCATTGTCACTGACTTCTCCTCAGCATTGCCAGAAAAGTCACTGAAACAGTGCAGACCGAGTCTGGAGAAGAAAGTCTTGAAAACAAGAAACTGTACAAAAATAGTGTATAATTGGAGGAGGCAGGAACAGAGAGGTCTCTCGTCTTCCTTACTTCAGGCCTTGTTCATCGCAGGGAGACAGTCAACCAAACATACAGAGGAAACGCTCCACCAGCCAATTAGAGGACATGCTACCTCAGTGAAGATCGCACCACTGCTCTAGGGAGGGCCAGAGAAGATGCAACCAGGGCGGCCATGTTTGTTTGCTCATTTGCCTGTCCCAGTCACATGCAAAACAGGGATGGAGGGTGTTTGTCTTACATTTTTTCATCACGAGGGACGTGGACATAGGGAGCAGAAAGCCTGAATGCTGAGCAGATGCTCTGCCCTTGCGCCACACTCTTCTTGTGCATGAGGCTGAGGAATTCCACTGAATGTCCACTTGGGATAATTGCAATTTATATGTGCAGAGTTGTGCACAGCCTTTGCATGTTCTCCTCCACATCGGTTTCTTTTGCTAGTCATTTCTGAATGAGGCATCAGCTCTGCGTTCCTCCTATCTGCCTGGAGAAGCATGTCACTAAATTAGTACAGGGCATTAATTTTAATGCAGTGTAATTTATTGAGTAGCTGGAAATTCTGCAGTTGTGGGTGGTTTTTTTGCAACTTCCGAGTGAGTGATGCTACCTTGCTTTGCCAATCCATCTTTTTATGGAGGAGACCAGGACTCAGCAGCCACGACACATAAATACTTCGCGGAGCTGTTCGGTGCCAATGAATTTCTGCCTTATTGTGAAACTTTGCAAGGCATAAAAATGTAATACAGTTGGAGATAAGGCATTGCTAAGGCATTGGCTTGCATGTGTTGCTCTGGAAGCGTTACCTAATGGAACAAATTAGCTTGCTAACATATGTATTGAGATAGATTTGAATCTTGCTGTTTCTTAAGCTAGAAGCGTAGGTCTTCTGTAAAGTTCTGAAGACAGGAAACAGATACGGCTAATTCATTTCCTTTCTCCTCAGCCTTTCCGGTGTGCACACTGCCATTATTCCTGCAACATATCTGGTTCTCTGAAGAGACATTATAACAGGAAGCATCCCAACGAAGAGTATGTTAATGCTGGCTCTGGAGAGCTTGCCGCCGAAACCCTTCTCCAGCAAGGTGACCTGTCTTATTTTGAAATCGTTGCGCACAAAAATTACTCCTTTGAATTAAGACACAATTAGATTTCTTTTGCAGAGAGTATGCTGTGGCAGGCTTAGCTTTTCAGTGGCGGACAGTGATGGGATTTTGTGTGTGTGTGTTAGTGTGTGTGTGTGTGTGTGTGTGTGTGTGTGTGTGTGAGGCACTGTCATCACTTCCCTGAAAGAAAAAACCTGTAGCAAACCTTGTGTACGAATTGAAAATCCACATGAATGAAAGCTGGAGGGAAGCCAGCATCCTCTTGTGGATCGGCCCAGGTTTAAATTCCTACAGAACGTGTTCTTGGCTCTTTCTTAATGGGAATGAAGCCAAAGGCACTTTTAAAGGAAGAAAGCTGTTGCTGTATTTGAGAAAAGGTTATTTTCTTTCCCCAGTTACACGCTGCTTTTTTTTTTACATTTTAAAAACTGTCTGTACAGAGTTGGCACCTCCAATCCTGAATATATTTACCTGGGGTTGTATTCAGTTGTGTCCCTCCTTGTCCACCAGTCTCTGGCTCAGCAGAAGGCATTTGTTATTATAGAATGGGGGGGGGGGAGGCCATTTTTGCTGATTCTCCCTTCCCTCTGTAGCTCTCCTCCCTCGCCCGCCCTTCACCAGCTCAAGAGAGGCAGGGGACATTTTGGAACAGTGCAGGGGACAGCAGGAGAAAGGGGAGATCTGCAAAAATCAGTCTGCACCCCACTTTCATCTCGCAGAAGAATCCCCTGGATTCAGTAGCTCTCTGTCCACAGATGGACATGGTCAGACACACCCCATGGAACTCCTGTTGGTTTCTGCGGAAACAGCTTCACAGGATGACAGCTTCGATTTGATGGACTGCATCTCATGGAGCAAGCAAACCTAACATTCTGCTCGTTGCTTCAGGATATTCTTCTCACTGCGGGGAACGGGAACCCGACCTAGAGATGAGCCTTTGAGATTCAGCAGGCCATCTTCTTGCATTCTTAACCTAGCCAGTTCTTCTCTGCGTCACTTGTGAAACCGCCCTGTGGGTCAAATCCTACTTGGTTAAACGCTTAGCGTTCCTCCCGCAAAGCATTCTTCTCTTGTACTTGGTTCCTGCATACATTTCTCAGTTCCACTGCATCAGCTCACTTCCAAATAAATAGCTGAGCATCAGAGTAGGCGCCTGAGCATTTTTCAATCCTTCCTGCTATATGAGGTTTTTTTGTTGTTGCTTTGATATTCACTAGAGCCTGGGAAGATAAAAGAGGAAGCAGGGAGGGAGAGGCATTCGAGAGGACTCCTTTCACTACTCCGGGCCCTATCTAATTAAAAACGGGTTTTGACGAACAACATAGTATCTGGATGCAACTGCAAGAGATGTGCCCGCCCCACTCTTAAGGGACATTTTGCTGCTGTGCAGTTGGAAATCTGATAGCCCAGTCCAGTAGCTTCTTAAGTATGAAATGTATTCAAGGATTCAGGACATTGAAAAGCGTGTAACGCTACTGCAAGTGGGGAATTAAAAGGAAGCCAAATTTGATTGCCTTTTGTTGGGAGATGCCGAGCTGTTTGTGGAAGTTGACTCCCTTGTTTTATTTTTGATGGTTTCCAAGTGTTTATCCCCGTATTGAACGAAAAAATGCAGAACTTTCCCCCTCCTTAAAAAGCATCTTGCAGGGATTTCAAAATTCGCTTTTTTTTTTTACAGTAGAATAGATGCCAGACTAACACAGCCGCTCTAGATAATGAATAAAACATCATTCTCCCAAGCGTGACATTTCTAAAAAGCATTTCCAAATTATTCTTTTCTTCTTTCTTAGCTGTTTTTAAAAAAAATGTCTGCAAAGAATTCACATTTATCGGAAGTGCTAACCCATGTTCCAACAACACAGAAACAGTGACACAAGCCAAATGCATCCAGAATAAATGCTGTCTGCCCTCCCCCTTCCACTGTTGCAAATATGGTAACTGGAGGACAAAAGCAGGGGTCGGCACCCTAAGGCCCATGGGCTGGAAGCAGCCCACAGAGGCCGTTTAACTGGCCCAAGAGCCGCCCCTGAACCCAGCCACCCGCTCGGCGAATCCCCGCACACTGCGCTAAACCAGTGCTGCACAGGGACTCTCTTCTGCGGCTCCAGAAATCGCTTCTGCGCATGCCCAGACGCCAGAAATCGTTCTGCACAGGCATGATTTTCGACGTCTGGGCATGCGCAGAAGCGATTTCCGGCCCCGCGGACATGCACAGATGGGATTTCCGGCATCGCACTGCACCGTACCGGCCCACAGAGGATCTCCATGGTAGTGATTCTGCCCATGCCCAGTAAGCCTTGCCGACCCCTGGACAAAAGCATCGCAATGAGTGCACCCAGATGTTAGTTTCTTTGAGTCCTCCAAACCGCAATGAAGATAGAGGTCTGCGGTACCTTAGAAACAAATGCATTTATTGCAGCATGGACTTTGAAGGAGGGCTGCACATCCATTGAAAAGCACGTGCATTGGATTCCAATGGCCCCAGATCCAGTTCCTGTTATCTGCCACCTGAAACCTCAAGAGCCACTGTCTGTCATTGCAGACAGTACTGAGCTAATGGACTGATGGTCCGGCCTGGAATAAGGCTGCTTCCTATCCCTGTTGGCATGTGAATCATCAGGTGTGTGGGCAGCCATGTTTGTTTTTCCATGGACAAACGTATTTGTGCAACAGCAGCCAAGAAGTATAGAAACAGGGCCAAGCATACATTTGATGGAATGGGGAGGAGTTTCCACTTCATGAACCTTCACGACTTTGCATTAGGAAATGGGGGCTCTGCACAGGAAGCCAGGAACATATCTTATGCCTTCAGAATTCATGCTGGATTTACTGTACGTCCCCCCCCCCTATGATACACAAATGTTAATGATACACCTTGGGTTAAGTACTTAATTCGTTCTGGAGGTCCGTACTTAACCTGAAACTGTTCTTAACCTGAAGCACCACTTCAGCTAATGGGGCCTCCTGCTGCTGCCGGGCCGCCGGAGCACAATTTCTGTTCTCATCCTGAAGCAAAGTTCATAACCTGAAGCAATATTTCTGGGTTAGTGGAGTCTGTAACCTGAAGCGTATGTAACCTGAAGCGTATGTAACCCGAGGTACCACTGTATATAGTACCCAGATTAACTTGTTTTAGAAGTTAAAGAGAAAGGAAATGTTAGGAGCTGGAGGCAAGCGCAGGTCTGCAATCAAAAAGGGGAGGGGACCCCTCGGTGTTAGTGCAGTTAAATCTTTATTGTTGTTGTTTAGTCGTGTCCGACTCTTCGTGACCCATGGACCAGAGCACGCCAGGCACTCCTGTCTTCCGCTGCCTCCCGCAGTTTGGTCAAACTCATGCTGGTAGCTTTGGGAACACTGTCCAACCATCTCATCCTCTGTCGTCCCCTTCTCCTTGTGCCCTCCATCTTTCCCAACATCAGGGTCTTTTCCAGGGAGTCTTCTCTTCTCATGAGGTGGCCAAAGTCTTGGAGCCTCAGCTTCACGATCTGTCCTCCCAATGAGCACTCAGGGCTGATTTCCTTCAGAATGGATGGGTTTGATCTTCTTGCAGTCCATGGGACTCTCAAGAGTCTGCTCCAGCACCAGAATTCAAAAGCATCAATTCTTTGGCGATCAGCCTTCTTGATGGTCCAGCTCTCACTTCCATAAATCTTTAGGCAAGAAACCTAAACAGCGCAGGCCTAGTGATCCCAGCAACCTCTCCCCAGTTGGTTTTGCTCCAAGAAGGCATTTGCACGGACTGAAGGCCTCTGCCTTCCCACCACTTCCCAAGTCTCCTCCTCTCCTAGGTATTTCCCAAGCAGTCACAAATTGCGTTTGTGCACAACCTGCCTCTGCTCTGCCCTCCTCACTTCTCTGCACATTCTATGAGACCAGGGGAGAGGGAGCTGGTCTCGGCAGGAGGGGGAGACTCCCTTACTTCTTCAGCAGCCTGCCTCTCTGTCTCCGGGCCTCCCTCCCAGCCTCCACTTCTGCCTCTGAGTCTGAATTGCCCTCTGCCACAGCCTCTTCCTGCTCACCAAACCCTGTCACCTCTTCTGCTTGCGACCCTTCCTCCTCCCAGTCTGCTCCCTCTGACCACTCATCGCCATTCCACCACCGACCCCCTGGCTCTGAATCTTCTTCCCCTGGGGATTCCCTTGGGGGTTCCCCAGCTGGGTAGGGGCCCCCAACTCCTCTGCATCCAGCCACACCATGACAGGAGACCACTATAATTGTAGATAAAATGAGCTAACAGCAGGGCCTGGGCATTCCAGCTATCTCTAAAATACCCTTCAAAGACAGCCAACCACATGGCCTCCCTGTCACCAAAAAGAAGGTACTGTGTCCAGAATATAGGTTGTAAACTTCAGGCAGATTTGCCCAGTGAAGCTAAACCTATTAATTATTTTGTTGCTTAAATTTTCCTGCATTTTTAAAAGGCAAACTGTAAGGATCTGGAGCTGTAACCATTGATAAGGAAATAGCCCAGGGCATGCAGTTGCACGTAGAGTTCTAGTAAGAAAAGTACTTAATGGAAGTGTTTTCCAGTAAGTTTCCCTATGGGTGTCCTGATGCTGTAGCTTAAACTCAAGGACTGTAAGAAGCCAAAGGAGGTTCGCCGTGGGAAGCTACAGATAGGAAGCCTTCTAAAATGAGCGTTTTCCCATACTATCAGTAGCACACAGATCCTCAGGGGTTTTCTGGCTGCTTGTTATCTGCGACTTCTTTTCATTTTGTGACCCCTTATTAATGCAATATAGAAACTAAATGTCACATCCAAGCGACCAGTTAGTGCATTAATAGTGTGTGTGTGTGTGTGTGTGTGTGTGTGTGTCCAGGGGGATGGTGGGGAGGCCAACAGTGGAATTGCTCCTTTGGCATTTCAGAAATATGAAATACTCCAATATGATTTGACTACATGCACGGGTGTCAAAAGCAGATAAGGTATGTCATTCAGTGACCTTTCCCCCTCTCTGTATTGCCAAAGTATTTAATGAATTGGATGGAAATTAATTTTCTTTAGCTGCGGTGTCAATTAGCTGTCACACAGTTTTCTGCTACTGGCTCAACTGCGTGCTTCCATTTGTTGTTCCTTAATTAAAGTCGCAGTGACAAAGGTGCCCATTTTAATTAGCAGGGTGTTATTGTTACAGTAATTTTAATTTAAAAGAAATAGAGGAAGGTCTTGCGTCTAATTGAGTTTTTATTAAGAGGGTGATATGAAATGAATATTTCATTTCAGATTTGGTAACTGATGGTATCTTTCTCCTATCCTGTGCCAAAGGTACTTACTAGGGAGCCGTGCAATGTTGCATATTAACACATTTGACAGAGAAGCTATTCCAGTTTAGCATAAAATCAAGCAGCCTGCATTGTCTAAAGCGGTTAAAGATAATAATAGGCAGGACTTAGGAAATCATTGAAGACTAATAAATGTCAGCAAATGAACCTCACTTTAATGAGGTTTTATGAAATGAAATAGAGGAAATTATTCCATTCCGCCACGTTGATGAAGTCCCATCTTGAAAGAGTTTGGCTTGGAGACGGAAAACGTTTGGCGCAAAGACATTTCTGCAACTGATAAACAATGTGCCAGTGGCAAATTCTCCAACATACTGCTGCGAGATTAGGGTGGCTTGCCACTGCACGAAAGCATGTAGAGTTGGGATGTAGAGACACCATTTATATATGCGATAGTTATTTAGTTCACTCATAGACTGCCCTTCATCCAATCAGGATCACAGGAAAGATCACAAGACGTGTCATGGCAGCTCCCACATGCTGAGCCAATTTCACAGTGAGCCAGCGGATGTATCACTGGTGTGATTATTAGCCCTTAACAGTGGGGGACCGGATAGCAGAGAAACAGAAAAGGCTCTTATTTCTGATATCTCTTTTTCAGTATTGAGTCTTTTTCGGTATGTTCCTTTCCCCCTCACCCCATGCCCAGGGTCCTACAAAACACCTCTGGAACTGTTTCCCAGGTTTTTCACCTTCATTGTTGATCAGTGCTTGCAGCAAATGACCATTTCACTGTGCTGTTCCAGTAAGATACCATAAGATTTTGTGATTTATTTATTTAAAAAGGAGAGTTACCTTAGAATAGGGATGAATGGATCAGTGGCCACTGCTGCATTTCTTTTTTCTTTTTAAAATCTGCATAATAATCAAATGCCCATTTCTAAATGTAATTAATCCTAAAATAGACATCGTATGCACATTTCAAGAGATAAAGTTAAAAAAAACTGCACTGCAAAATCAGAAAAAAATGCAAAGTCTGAATGGTTACTGTGCCCCCAGATCACTGTAGGTTGAGACGAGTGGGTCAGGTGTGTCCGTATCAGAATTCACAAATAAGGAATTCCTCAAGCATCCATAACTCAGGGCTATGTTTTGTTCTGCTGCTCAGTGCAAAGTAACATTTCCCACCATGCTGTGCATCCTCCCACCCTGATATTTCACAACAAGATTTCAGGGCTTCTTCTGAATCAGGACAAATAAATAAATAAAATCAAGGAACAATTTATTTATTTTTTAGTATGTCCAAATTGCCAGAGATTTTGAGCACGGAAATAGGAAATAGATTAAAAACGAATTCTTAACTCTGTGTGTAGTAGATTCATTTTTCGTGTTTCTAGTTAAAATTTAGCAAAACAATTTGCGTGTGGGTGCGCGCATGCAGAATTCACGTGAAATACTCTGCTGCCGGAAAACAAAAAACAAAAGTATTTTCAGCATCAGTAGTAAAAACATAGTAGTTATATAACTGACAACGTGTTGCCGTTTAAAGGTGTGTAAAATCTGCTTTGTGCAAATTGGAAAGTAATCATCTATTAAACTTGATAAAGTTGCAACCTGGTAACCTGGCGTGCTCATTTCTTACTGGCGTGCTTATGCCTTAATTTATCAACGAGAGGCAAAGATTGTGCTGATGAAGATTATCTTGTTCTCCCCCCCCCTTTCTTTTTTTCTTTTCCTTCAGGTGGCATTAAGTGTCCAGTTTGCAACTTCGTGTATGGTACAAAGTGGGAATTCAACCGACACCTCAAGAACAAACATAGACTCAGATTGGTCGAGTATGATGGGGAGACAAAGTGGGAGGTAAAGCCAAGGAGTGGCAGCTGGCCCTGAAATATCGGGTTTCTCTAGAAGGGTCAAGGTGGGGGATGGAATCAAATGAGAATACGACGACATAAGCTGCCTTATGAGATGAAAAAAATGCACTGCCTCTTGTGTGGGCATGCAGAGATGTATGCTATCTGGCAAAAGGATCCTTTTTTCCCCATTGCCCTTTAAAGGTAAAGGTAAAGGACCCCTGACAGTTAAGTGCAGTCGCGAACGACACTGGGGTTGCGGTGCTCATCTCATTTTACTGGCCAAGGGAGCAGACGTTTGTCCACAGACAGTTTTTCCGGGTCATGTAGCCAGCATGACTAAGCTGCTTCTGGCGAAACCAGAGCAGCGCGCGGAAACGCCGTTTCCCTTCCTGCCGGAGCAGTACCTATTTATCTACTTGCAATTTGACGTGCTTTCGAACTGCTAGGTTGGCGGGAGCAGGGACCGAGCAACGGGAGCTCACCCTGTCATGGGGATCCGAACTGCTGACCTTCTGATCGGCAAGTCCTAGGCTCTGTGGTTTAGACCACAGCACTACCCGCGTCCCTTGTCCCTCGTCGATAGTTACACACTGCAATAGCTGTTTGGCATCTTTGTGATGTGCTTCTGCCAGCTAATTCCCTTTGATCACCAATCACTGGCTCTTTTTGCAGACCAAAGCAGAAATTCCTGAAGAAACGCAGTATCTCCATATCACGGAAGCTGAAGATATGCAAGGAACTCAGGCCGCAGTTGCTGCTCTACAGGACCTGCGATATACCTCGGAGAATGGTAAAACATTCTCTTTAAGGAGAAATGAATGTTTCGCAAAAGCAATGTATAGATGCTGAGCGTTCAAAACAAGTCCCCGTACATTAGCTCAGTAATCCTTGCGTGGTAATAATTATTATTATTATTATTTCCCCAGCCACTCTGGGCGGCTTCCAGAAAAATATTAAAATACAGTACTTCATGAAATATTAAAAAAGCTTCCCTAAAAATATTAAAAGCTTCCCTAAAAAACAGTACGAGTTGGAAATGTAGGTCTGAGAGTAACAACAAGAAAGAGTAGCTAACCTAGAGCCACCCAGAGAAATTCATAGTCAAGATGGCATGTGAACTGGTTCTTCCTGCTCCAGTATTCAACCAGCATTACGCTGTCAACAAAAGTGGCTTCACTAGCAAGCATATTGTTTTGTTTCATCAAAATTGCCAAGTCCGAAGCGACTCTGGGAAAGAAACGCATATTGGCTGCGACCTGATGCCACCAGCACAGCTTCTTCCCAAATCCTGCAAAGACTTGAAGCAGTTGGAGGCAGCACAGAGGCCGGTTGCTTCTGTTCTAACATTGAACAGCATGTATAGTGTTCATAGAATCATAGAATCATAGAGTTGGAAGAGACCACAAGGGCCATCGAGTCCAACCCCCTGCCAAGCAGGAAACACCATCAGAGCACTCCTGACATATGGTTGTCAAGCCTCTGCTTAAAGACCTCCAAAGAAGGAGACTCCACCACACTCCTTGGCAGCAAATTCCACTGTCGAACAGCTCTTACTGTCAGGAAGTTCTTCCTAATGTTTAGGTGGAATCTTCTTTCTTGTAGTTTGGATCCATTGCTCCGTGTCCGCTTCTCTGGAGCAGCAGAAAACAGCCTTTCTCCCTCCTGTATAGTGTTATACAGTGGTTCCACAACCTCCTCCTGGGCCGTGTTCAGAAAGTGGGGTGGGGGGGTTGGTTGAGTGTTCAGACCCCTGGGCTCTCACTTGTGGGGTGCCTCAGGGTTCCGTCCTCTCCCCCATGCTTTTCAACATCTACATGCAGCCGCTGGGAGAGATCATCGGGGTTTGGGCTGGGTATTCATCAGTATGCGGATGATACCCAGCTGTACCTCTCTTTCAAATCAGAACCAGTGAAGGTCCTGTGTGAGTGTCTGGAGGTGGTTGGAGGATGGATGGAGGACTACTGCAATGTGCTCTATGTGGGGTTACCTTTGAAGGTGACCCGGAAACTACAACTAATCCAGAATGCAGCATCTAGACTGGTGACTGGGAGCGGCCGCCGAGACCACATAACACCAGTCTTGAAAAACCTACACTGGCTCCCAGTACGTTTCCGAGCACAGTTCAAAGAGTTGGTGCTGACCTTTAAAGCCCTAGGCCTCAGTCCTGTATACCTGAAGGAGCATCTCCACCCCATCATTCTGCCCAGACACTGAGGTCCAGTGCTGAGGGCCTTCTGGTGGTTCCCTTGCTGCGAGAAGCCAAGTTACATGGAACCAGGCAGAGGGCCTTCTCGGTGGTGGCACCTGCCCTGGGGAACGCCCTCCCACCAGATGTCAAAGAGAACAACAACTACCAGACTTTTAGAAGACATCTGAAGGCAGTCCTGTTTAGAGAAGCTTTTAATGGTTAATAGATTATTGTATTTTAATATTTTGTTGGAAGCTGCCCAGAGTGACTGGGGAAACCCAACCAGATGGGCGGGGTATACATAATAAATTATTATTATTATTGAAAAGGAACTAGCAGAGCTGTCCGAACCCCACTAATGCCTTGTGAAGAGTGTGAGGTGGGGTGGGGGGGGGGCAGACAAAAGCCTGCTCCAGGCAATGTCAGCCTATAGCTGCCAGGTTTGGGCCCAATGCCGTCAGGTGACAGCAGTGCAGCCCGTTCAATCGGATTTGACGACTTACTGAGGTCACCAAAGGTAAATGGAACACCTTGGCACCTTGGAGACTGACCAGTTTATTAGGGCGTAAGCTCTTCCTCCAAAGCAAACTCAGTGCCACCAGCGGGGCTTGCTTCTAAGCATGGTGAGGGGAGAAGACAGGATTCTGTAAGGAACTAGGGAAGAATGTGAAGAGGGATTTGAACAAGGGGTGAGCGGGGGAAGTTCTCGCTGCAATGGCATGGCGGGATGTGCAGCGGCGGAAACATAAGCAAAAGGAGATGAGTTTGAACAGAAAATTGGCAAGTTTGTGTTACTGTTAACGCCGTCCTGGTTCTCATATTGACATTCTCTCCGATTAGGGGGACGACTTGACCCCACGGCTGTGAACATCCTGCAACAGATCATAGAGCTGGGCTCAGAGCCCCACGACGCAGCTGCTGTCGCCTCTGTCGTTGCCATGGCCCCAGGAACTGTTACTGTCGTGAAACAGGTCAAAACATTTTCCTTTCCTCTGTGTGTGTGTGCGTGTGTGCATTAGACAGAAGGAGTGATACTTCTGGCTATTTGTTGTATGCAAATAAACAGTTAATATTTCTAAGCTATTTGAGACCACATTTGTTTAGCTAGACAGCTCAATACTGGGCCGTCCTTGCAGCACCACCTTGAACCACATTTGTTTCTGGATTTGGCATTACGGAATGTGTGAATTCTCTGCCTAAAACCGAATGTAATCAACTTCATTATTCCTGTATATAAAGTTGTGAGGAGATAAAGGGCTGGTTTTGATAGATGACATCAAAATACTTATTGCGAGCCTATTACGTTAGTCCATTGAGCAACTGGCAGCTTGTGCGAGCAAGACATCAGGCATGCAATATTTTCCCGGGACGGTTCCAACTCAGGATGGGGGGGTGAAAGGATGGAGACATCGCTGATCTTGGAAACTTCTTTCCTTTCTCATTCGCTGCATTCAATGTCCTTGCATGTTGCAGGTGGGGGAAAGCTTGAAGCATCATTCTCTCACACACATTTTGGCATTCTACATCCAGGAGTGATTTTGACACAGGGGCCGCACTCTCAAACTTGCAACCCCCCACAAGAAAACTGATGTGATTGCAGTCTCATGAAACCATGTGCCATTTGCCTCCTGGCTTGCTTGGTTCAGAGTAGCTACATTGCTTCCAGAGATAGGTTTCCACATTGTGGTGAAAGTGGCTGTTTAAATTGGCCTCTAGGCAAGAGAGTTGAGAAAATTGACCTGCATTCTGTTCCACTTCTGAGCTTCATCCTGTAATGAGGTAGCAATCTGTAAGCTATTGGAAGCAGTGAGGTTGCAGAGGTTCTGCTGGGGACTTATTTGATCTGTAGGATTTTGTTAGAGTCAGGAAGAAGAAAAAATGGCTTTTTAATGGAGGTATGAGTCTTCCTTCTCACCCTCTTTTTATAATGAGGGCTTTCATTATTCATAAAGAACCTTAAGATCATGGTTTGCTCATAAAAACACATTTCAATAAAATTGTATGTTTTCAGATACTTGCATAAGGCACTGAGTCCTTGTTATATACTGTTAGCTTTTATTCTATGTAGACACCCTTTGAGATAAATTCTTGTGTTGACTGCCAAATGACTTCCTTTGCAGCTTTTGTTTCAAATCTTTGTGTTGGTGGCATTATGCTAATCATTTTTGTGTTAAAAAAGGGGGGGGAGGGATAGAAGCATATGATAAAGCAAATATATTTATATATGCAGAAGATCAAGAGTGGGGGGGGGCATTCATATTCCAGGGAGTCCTTATCAAATGTTGAGAAGCTAGACTAGTATAAAGCTCAAGGATTGCTGAAAGGCCTGAGCCATAATCCTGTGGCAGCTCAGAGCTACGGAGTAGTGTGATCTCCCCCCCCCCAGCCCCTTCGGTTTCAGTCCAACTGCTGAGCAAGAAGCATTGCTTGTGTGACAGATGAAAATGGCTACACTCTAAATAATCTTGGCATGATCTTCCTCTTATTCTCCCTCGCCTTTGGCAGTGCTCATTGTATATTGCTTGTGTTGGCTGGGGCACCAGTTCTAGCAGCCACTGCAAGCAGCACGAGGCTCCCCTTTTCAAGGAGTTTGGATGACTGGCCTACCTCACACTGTCAGCCTAGCAGTTTGAAAGCACACCAGTGCAAGTAGATAAATAGGTACCACTGCGGCGGGAAGGTAAACAGCATTTCTGTGCACTCTGGCATTCATTACGGTGTCCCGTTGCGCCAGAAGCAGTTTAGTCATGATGGCCACATGACCCAGAAAAGCTGTCCGCGTACAAAGCCCGGCTCCCTCAGCCTGAAGCGAGATGAGTGTTGTACCCCATAGTCGAATTTAACCATCTAGAAGTCCTTTACCTTTTACACTTTAATAACTGAGTAGCAATGGTACGGGGTTTCACATGGGCCAGAACCATTTGCAAAATTTGCATGGCTGCTTCTGCTCCTTCCCACTCCTCACCTCTTCCTTGTAGTCTCCTTTGTATTCCACCGCGTCCCCCAGGGTGTCTCTGCTCAGTAGAAGTGATGATTCGGGGAATCGGTTTGGCAGCCCGAGACAACCAAACTAGCTGAGGACTTGGACAATTCACTGGCTAGCCCTGCGGAATCTCAATTAAGTTGAGCGAAATAAACGCCCCAAATATTCTTTGTTGCTTGATCCCCAGCTTTCTGAAATACGTTGTTGAAACGTGAGCAGGTACATCTAGTCGTAAGGGGCTATGTGTAAGAAACCAAAAAATGGTGTCCAGGTTCCACCATCACACATTTTTAAATCACTTTCATAAATGTAACACAAAAGACAGGAGGCTGCTTCGTTCAGGTGTCATATTGTAAAATCATCATTAACCATGCTAGATCTTGACATATATACCTGTATACCGGAAGGAGCGTCTCCACCCCCATCATTCTGCCCAGACGCTGAGGTCCAGTGCCAAGGGCCTTCTGGTGGTTCGCTCACTGCGAGAAGCAAAGCTACAGGGAACCAGGCAGAGGGCCTTCTTGGTAGTGGCGCCCGCCCTGTGGAACGCCCTCCCCTCAGATGCAAAGAGATAAACAACTACCTGACATTTAGAAAACATCTGAAGGCAGCCCTGTTCAGGGAAGTTTTTAATGTGTGACATTTTGATGTATTTTTAATCTTTGTTGGAAGCCGCCCAGAGTGGCTGGAGAAACCCAGCCAGATGGGTGGGATACAAATAATAAATTATTATTATTGACATATGTAAAAATTAGATACATCCTAGAGCTATAGAACTTGCAAACAGGGACACCTAAAATGAACCAGAGGATGGACCAACTTTCTTGTTGATAATTTTTTTTTTTATCAGGGGGAAAAGATTGAAAGTTGTTGGCATTCATCTGTCTTGAGAGCCAATGGAGTGTGTCTCCAGGGGTGAAGTCAATCTGCTGCACTGGCAGCACCGAAGTGACCTCCCCGGGGTGCAAGCCTAGGCAGTGTGTATGGAGGTCCCCCTCTTGATCTGGCTGATGTGGCCCAAAGGAAAGCAGAGCAATGCGTTTGGCACCAGCTTGGCTGCAGGAGTTGCCAGAAGGAGGCATACCAGGTGCCGTCCAACCACCTTAGGGACTCCACTCTGGATTTGTGTAGGATTAGCCTTTTCTTCTCCTGAAGATATCCTGCAAAGCCTAGATGAGCTACCTTCCCAGGTGGACGAGCCTCACGTGCTCCTCACTTCCCTATACAGTGGTACCTCGGGTTAAGAACTTAATTTGTTCTGGAGGTCTGTTCTTAACCTGAAGCTGTTCTTAAGCTGAAGCACCTCTTTAGCTAATGGGGCCTCCCGCTGCCACCGCACCACCGGAGTTTTCTCATCCTGATTTCTGTTCTCATCCTGAAGCAAAGTTCTTAACCCGAGGTATTATTTCTGGGTCAGCGGAGTCTGTAACCTGAAGCATCTGTAGCCTGAAGCCTCTGTAACCCGAGGTACCACTGTACAGCACATCTTGAGGTTCTCTTTGGGCTCTGGGGTGGGACTTCTTGCGAGCCAGGAGGGATCTCCAGGGTGCTTCCCATTTCTGGTTACCACTTCCAGGTAACCAGCACCACGCGTGTGCGTGGTCACATACAAATAGATTGCGCATCAAGCTCTTGCCAGTAAGCGAGGATGCTTCAGGTAGCAATTGAAAAGAATCTAGGTGCTGCCAGGGGGGGAAATGGAAGGGCATCTCCAGTTGGCTTGGAAGCTGCTGTTGTCTCATTAACTCCCTTATTAGAGGGATAAAGAAAAAAAAGCAATATTTTGGGAAAGATTCCCCCAGTAGATCAATCCAATAGGACCTAAGCAGAGGGCATGTAAGTGCTGAGCTGACATGAAGTGTGCCAACCTGAAAAACACAGCAATTTGTCATGCTAAGAGGATTATAGATAGATGTCCGAGAGAGAGAGAGAGGGAGAGAGAACAAGAACAAGGAGCTCCACAAGTGAAAGCAGTTAATCATTTTTCCTGGAATGACAAAACCAATGAAAAACATCTGGATAAAGGCAGGTAGAGAGGCTGTTAACTTTCTTTATTGGCCATTTTCATTTCAGGAGAATATAAAATTGAATAAGCATTCCGTTTGTCGCCCTTGCGCCAAATGAGATTCTAGTTTCATTTCACTTTCGCGTCAGCGGCATTTTTATTTATCTTCCTCTCCTTGTTATTTATTTGCGCATCTCAGATGCATTTAAAATTATGTGCGGCTTTCAGCGTAAACAAAGCCAATTTCAAATCCCATTCAGGCTACAATATACTTGCTTGCTGGTCTCGGTGAATGCTGGGCAGCGAGGCTTGTTGCCTTAGGAATAAACGTGTGTGGTGTTTGCAAACCTGTTTTGTGATACCACCTGGAAAACTAAACAGCCCCCTCCCCCTGCCATCTGAAAAGACATTGAAATTCCATCACTCAGTGACAAATCTCTTTGGATCCAAACACAGCATTGAAATAGAGGTTTGCGTACCTATTTCAATGGCCATATATGTTTTCATTTGGCTACCTGTCTAGATCCAGCAGTATAAATTGTTATATATGTGTAATCTGTGCAGTTCTTAATGCTTGCCTCGGATAGCCCAATACCTTGGTAGGCAGCTGACAGACTCCGTGAAGCCAGCTGAGATCCTCTGATTGACCCATTGATCCTCTGGTTTTCTCCCTCTACACACACACACACACACACTTCTCTCCCAACTTTCCTTACAAGTGGTGCGCCAGGGAAACCTGCTCCCAGTTGCACCTTCTAGGGTTGCCATATTTTGAAGAGCAAAAAAGAGGACACATTTGCCGACTTTTGACTATGGGTCTCTATGACGACTCTCATCATGAAAAAGAGGACGTGTCCTGGAAAAAGAGGACATATGGCAACCCTGCGGGTACATTCTGGTTATCTTTACTATCCTTGTTAATGTCCGCACTTCGTATTAAAATGCAGCTTAAAACAAAGGATGGTTTGGGGCCAACGAGTTAAGGCATGCTGCTCAGAAGTTCCTGAAGTTCCCCGCTGCCGCCACACCACAAAATAAGCTGGAGCGTGGCTTGCTGTTCCATTTGAACCCAAGCTCATCCTTCCCAGTCGGTAGAGCGCGAGACCCTTATTCTCAGGGCCGTGGGTTCGAGCCCAACGTTGGGCAAAAGATTCTTGCAATGCAGGGAGTTGGACTAGATCAGGGGTAGGCAACCTAAGGCCCAGGGGCCGGATGCAGCTCAGTTGCCTTCTCAGTCCGGCCCGCGGACAGTCTGGGAATCAGCGTGTTTTTACAAGAGTAGAATGTGTGCTTTTATTGAAAATGCATCTCTGGGTTATTTGTGGGGCATAGGAATTCATTCACACACACCCCAAAAAATATATAGTCCGGCCCACCACATGGTCTGAGGGACGGTGGAACGGCCCCCTGCTGAAAAAGGTTGCTGACCCCTGGACTAGATGATGCTTGTGATTCCTTCCAGCCCTGCAATTCTGGGGTTCTGTTATTCCCCTTCCCACAAGCAGTAAGTGAAAAACAAGAACTCGGTTCCCCCTTTGTTTGGAGACTGGGTTAAGGCAGCACAACAAGCTAGTTTTATCCGTGATGCATCAGGAGAGCAGCACCAACAGAATTTTTTAATAATAATAATAATACTGCCCAGACACTGAGGTCCAGTGCCGTGGGCCTTCTGGCGGTTCTCTCACTGCGAAGAAGCCAAGTTACAGGGAACCAGGCAGAGGGCCTTCTCAGTAGTGGCACCTGCCCTGTGGAACGCCCTCCCATCAGATGTCAAAGAGAAAAATAACTACCAAACTTTTAGAAGACATCTGAAGGCAGCCCTGTTTAGGGAAGCTTTTTAATGTTTAATAGGTTATTGTATTTTAGTTTTATGTTGGAAACCGCCCAGAGTGGCTGGGGAAACCCAACCAGATGGGCGGGGTAGAAATAAATAAATAAATAAATAAATAAATAAAATGTAATTGAGTGAGACTGCTAAGCTTGGCCCTATCACAAAGCTAACACGTTAATGATTGGTGTCTTCTGCCTCTTCTCCCAATGATCTTTATTTACTTGGGCTACTGCATGCCTTTCTTCCCCCCCTGGTCCAGCTAGTTCCCGGCTCTGTGCTGTTTCACAGTCTTATTAGAAACAGGGGATCCAAAGGAAGAGTAAAGGATGGTTGTTTTCAATAGAGTGTCTTCGCCTGCATGGCTTACCGGTTGCCGCCTGTCACTGCGAGGTGTTGCGTTGGGCTTTTTCACTAGAGCTCCAGCTCCTGTGTTGTCGTTGTCATCTTTCCTCCTTCGAATGAAATTAAACAGAAACCTGAATAAAGTATATTCATTCTCCAAACAAAAGAAGAAGCCAGCCTAAATCAATTAAATGGCCCAGCCAGCTTGGCATATACTGATCAATGTACACATAAAATGTCCTTCTGCTGAGCACAGCTGCGTCATATAACAAACCTTTTGGCACAACGCAATTGCATTTTTTCTTTCCTCCAGGAAAAAAAATAATGATGATGGCTCCCTTTCTTTTTGTTTTACCTCTCTCCCATGCTCATGCTTCATTGCTATTACCATTACTATTTCAGAGAGCATACTTGCTGGAAATGAAGGGAGCCTTGGGCCATCTGATATTTCCATTACTGGCCTGACGGGCATTAAGTGGATATAGTTTGCTGGTACTCTGCAAGTTGTATTTGGGGGAGAGTTGATCCCTTCCCCCAACTTTCCGTTTTTAAAAGACTGCGCATTGGCAATTTCAGATCTGTGAATGAAAATCCACAGTAAAGTGGGCTCAGATGTTCCGAGTTAACTCGTTTTTAATCCAAAATTGTCCGTTGAGAGAAAATTTTCCCTTTTTTTCACAGCCTAGGGAGTATGTTTCGTGTTTGAACCTGTGTGCTGTCAGTTAAATGCAGTTCATTTTTGCTCCCCTTGGGAAAGTAGCCATTGGTCTGGGAGGCCACATGGGGGGGGCAAAACTCCAGCTTGCCCCATGGGAGGAGGTGAACAGAGAAAGAGTTCCAACAGAACAAACGATGGTGACCAACCTCTGCATAAATTACATGCTCTGCTGTCTCCCTACATTGGCTCACAGCAAAGATAACCATTGCAAGGCTGACCATCTTAGTGCACACCACTTTGAATAAATATTTGCTGGGACAGAGGGTGTCAGGTGTTGGGGTGTGATTATTAAAACACACTCACTTCCTGGAATTGTACTTATTTCTCCAGATGATGCAAATAACACAGTGGATAATGTGTTGGTGATCCTTGCTCAGCCATGAACCTCACTAGGCGACTTTGGATCAGACATGTTCTCTCCTTCAGTCTTTCTCGTGTCCTTCTGAGGATAATATTGGTCCTTGGGTGGGCGGAATTAAAAATTGATGATAATGGTGACCGGTCCTTTCTGGCAAGTGAGCCATGGTGCTGGGCTAATCTACGCTGTTGTTCAGATGCATCTCGGTATGGAATTGCTTCTAGTCCATTGAGTGGATATCAATGCGCTAATGTGCCTGTATTCCCCTTGTGGCACAGATTGGCTACCAACTGCTTAAACACATGGTCTGCAATTCAGCAAAGGGAAAGTGTGTAAGGAAACCAAACTCCTCTGTCATCGCCTCGGCTCTCCTGTTCCCTTGCCAGCGATGAAACGCCTGTACATGCTTTGAAACCCTTAAATTTTGGTTATGAATGCACATCCGTTCGGTCTTTCAGTAGTTCAGTATTCCTGGGACTTTCTGCATGCAAAGCAGGGCTCTGCCACTGACCCACATCCCTTCCCTAGTGGGTCATCAGCTGTACGAGCTCATCTGTTATTTAACTGAAGCAAATACTGCAATCTCCTTTAGTACCAATAATTTATGAAATACAGGGCTCGGTCATTTATTCGCACCTAGGTTTCCTTGCTCTCGTTTTAGCAACATTGCAGCCCCGCCATGCAAAGAAACCCTTTGTAACGTCTCCCCTTTTCTCGCAGGTGACAGAAGAGGAGCAGTCAGCCAACCACACGGTGATGATTCAGGAAACACTGCAGCAAGCTTCCGTCGAGCTGGGCGAGCAGCACCATTTGGTCGTCTCCTCTGACGAGGTGGAAGGGATCGGGACAGTGACAGTCTACACCCAGGGGGGAGAGGCCTCTGAACTTATAGTGTATGTGCAAGACATGCAGTCTGTGGAGGAGCAGGTGGAAGAGCAGGAGGAGCCTGGACAGAAAATCTAGATAAAATTCCCAAGGGAGACCAGCCTTCTGGTACCGCCCAACTGCTGCATGCTTTGTTTTCCAATGTATATTTAATGTTGGGCAAGAACAGAACCTCCCACAGCTGCTACTCTATCATATCTTTAGTCTTTGGCAGATGGCGCACGTGGTTGTTGACTGGACTGGTGGCTTCTTCTTTTTGCCAGGAAACGTTTTGGTACGTACTGAGCCATGCGCAACTTCCTTTCACATGGCGCTACTCCCCTGCTCGTAAGGAACGCCTGAAGTCGCAGCAAGCAGATCCATGCAGATGGATGGTCATGACCACTACCTTCTGGGATAAAAGATACTTTTCCTAGAGCAAGAGGTGAACCAAAAAAGAAAGCTAGAGGAGGCAATGGCAGTGGACAGCACTTGATAAACGCTAAAATGCGTGTGTGTTATGCACTTTAAGAAGACTGTAGATGGAAAAGGACAATTTTAGCAATCGCCCGGAAAGTTCAGATTTTAAGACTTGCCAAGCAACAGGCCCTGCAGCGAAGCTGTTCAGAAGAACAGGCTCCATTGGGTTGGGTTCACTCGACATGCAGAAAATGTGGTGGTGTGAATCAGATCCAGCTGTTCTTCAGTGCCGCTTCCTAAACGGTTTTTCTAAATGGTGTTCAGCATTTTAACCTCCCCAAAGACAGCTTTCCTTCCTTTTGTCACTGTGAATTGTTGAAGACCCGAGATCATTACCCGAAGAAATGTGTTCTCTTTTATCTTGTATCTTTTAATCTTTTAAACCGGGACTCTGTGCCAGTGAGCATGCCACGTTTTTATTTGGATGGGATCTAATCTGACATGCGAGTGAAAAGATCCCACCTCTAAGGGTCTTTCAGATGCACAGTCCCTTCCGAAATGCAAGTGTTTTATGGTTGTGACATATTTTGGACACATATATTGGAGATATATAGTGGATTTCTTCCCTTCTTTTTTTTTCTATCCGTGAAGCATTCTTTCCTTGTCTCCCCCTTTCCTTTTTTGCAAGCAATAGCAATAACTTCAGAAATATATATTTTAAAAAATCATAGCTTGGGCACAGTTTTTTAGATTAACACACCCGCTACAGGGTTATGTCTCATATAATATACAATGGATGCCATGTTGAAGCACTGAGAAGTAATACCAAGCCAAAAAATCTGTGGAAGCCACAGTGATAGAATGATATTTCGGGATCCTATTTCTCCCAGCCTGGCAAACGTTGAGCATTTTCTCCAAAACCAAAAGCACTAACTCTGCATCCTTGAGCTGCACTGAATCACTCTTCTGTATTGATTAGACACAGGTGATCTATGGAAGTCTTCTTCTTTTTCTATCTCCTTAAATAATAAAATAGATCTCCGCTATGAGGAAACACCCAAAGTAGAGATGCAAGCATCTCTTGCTGTAAGTAAGGGCTCAAACACTCTGCTCTTGGTGGAGAAAAGGGCGTGCGATTTGGAGAAAGACTCTATTTCAGGGGAAACTAATGTGGTGCCCTCTGGATGTTTTCGGACTACAATTCCCATCATTCCTCGCCATAGCCTTCTCTGGCCAGAGCTAATAGAGTCCTAACAACTTCTAGATGACACCATGTTGGCTACGCCAGCTTATCCATATGGGTTTTTTCCAGTAGGCCTTGGGGAGTGGATCTAATTTGGCCCTATGTGTTCTGATCTCATGTCCCGTGTTCAGGTTGTGATTTGGACTACATGGCAGTGCATTCAGCAGAGAACTTATCCACTGGGCTCCACGAACAATGTCACATCTCATTGGGTATCACAGCTGACATGTGAGAGTGACAATTCCTTGCGCTGTGTCAGGAAGTGGGCAGAGGAGGAATGGTGGAGACCACCTCCCCCAACCTGACCCTTCCAGGGAAGAAGAAGACAGTTCAGAATTACAACAGGGGTTTGAGGGAGGTAGCAAATCAGAGGCAGATGAGGGGGAAAGCTGGGAAATAATGGGAGAGGAGGAAGAAGAAGCACCAGGGAGGTGACAGCTGATGGACACAGTGTCTTTAGAAAGCATTCCAGATCCCGCCTCCCAGAACCTGGTGAGCATTGAAAGTAGGAGAGCAAAGAGCTCAAAGGCAGAGGGCATGTTGCAGCACCCGCAGTGATGACTCTTGAGGAAGTGAGAGAGGCAGAGTGGGTGGAGACTCAATTGGGACAACACCATTATTCCAAGAGGTTGCATTCCGAAGCCTCTCTCTGCGAATATTGAATAAAAAGCAGATGGCAAGGACTTTTCTTTGTCTTATCCATTCCTGGCAACCTGCCGTGGGGGTTGGGTCCTCTACCGCCTGACAGGTTGTGGGGTAGAGTGCAGGAACGGGCTGAATATACAGCAACTATATAGCTCCTGCCTTTTTTCACCAGTGCATCCTTTGTATTGTCATTCACACAAACTCTTATATTGGGGTGGCATCCGGTATGCGAGACTGAACTCTTTCTCTTCTTTCTTTTTTTGTAATCTCAAACCCCCGTTCCTCAAATAAATATCAGACAAGGTGAAAATGTAAAACTCCCGCCACTGTTTTGCAGGATCACATTTATGTGTATTCAGTGCGGTGTCCTAAACTGCATGCGGGGAAGATACTAGCTTCTGTCGAACCTACACATTTCTGCTGTAAGTCCATCTGCTACAGCTGCCTATGGCTCCAAACTTGGTTTTATGTCGCATCCTGCAGAGTAACGATGGTTTAAATGCCATGGCAATTGATGCACACAAAACGGACAACGAGAAGTAAATAAGGATGAAATGGATATGGAAGAAGAGATGATGGGGCAACAGGAGGAAGAGATGGACATATGCTTGTAACAGGAGTGGGAAACCTGATTTTTATTTTTATTTTAAGAAATTGTATTAAATTAAATTTGTATGGATTTGCAATGATTTGGAAAAACAAATAAATAATAATAAATAATAAAAAAGACAATGGATGCTCACCAAACAGAGAAATGACCTTTTAAAATTAGCTATCCTGTCTCCAGTAGGATGCTTGATACGAAGATACATAATTGGACACCCTGAGATGTAAAAGATTTCCCCCTGTTCCTGCACTTTTATGTTTTGAAATTCTGAATGTACACGCAAATTATTCAGGGTGTAAATGGCTATGTGATTCGTGAATCAGATACGCAAACACTTCTAGGTTAAAATGGGAAATTGCCTTCTGAACACACTGAAATTCTACCCTTCACTAAAAGCCTGATATGTGATCTCTAAGGAATTGTTCTTGTTAATATGTACAAAACCAGTAATGTTTGCGAGTGTAATGCTCAGATGGCTTGAATGACTATAAATAAGGGAATCTGAACTAAGAGATTTGTCATTCTTAATCCTTGTGACCAAATTCATCTCAGAGTTAAGCATGGTTTCAAGTGACTGAAGCATGTCTAACAGATTGTGGTTCATGACTTCATCATGTGCATCTCATTTATTTTGGGGAGGGATAATCTTTTTTTATCTGCACTTCAAAAAAAAATTAATAATGCAAGTCTGTCGTGTTCTGTTCGGTGGGTTTAAAATTAGACAAATTCAGCAAGTGTTCTCCCTGCCCTTAAAAACAAAAAAAATTACCCAACCCAATAAATCTCATTTTTTTTCAAGTCTTGAGTTGGCTGAAGGGTGTTTCTTTGCAATTAGGCAGACCTGTGAAAACCTTAATGTCAGAAGCATCTCTCCTTCAGAAACCAGCCCACTTGGAGCTTAATAGGATCAGTATCTCCTTGGCGTCAAGAATTTCAAGCTTTGGAAATGTGGATTGGCACATAGACAGGTCCGGTGTGGTGACCCAGTGCACAGTAAAAGGGTTACTATTGCATTGGGAATGGGCATAAGTTGGCCATCCAATTGGGCTAGCGCTAGTCGATTGCTTCAATCCTAATCATATGCTGACCGAAATTCCATATGGCACAAAGCCTGCGGGAAACGCAAACATTTTAGAAGACTTTCTGTGCTAGCTAATTATCTGGCTTTTCCATCGCACTTGTTGTTTGACCATTCAGAAAAAAAGAATACACTGTGTCGGGGTTTCAGTGTGATTTGGGGGAGATTCTTTCTTTTGATGATAAGGTTGGTAGCTGTTTTTCTCACTGTTCCAAATGCCAATTAGCTGATGGAAGCCAGGTTGAACTGAAGGCAATATTTGCAAGTAAGGTAAAATGCTTGCCCATTCATTAATTGGAGGTAAATGGGGATTGTTCATTATCATCTAGGCGCGATGCAAAGAAAACCGGGGCTAATGCAGCAAATGAATTTGTATTGTGGTTTCCAATTAAACTTCATTGTTCGTTTGCAGAGATTACTCTTTGCCGTAATCTGGAAAAGGAAAAGTAACAGCTGCAAAATGTGTTTCTCTTTTTTCTTCTTCAAATCTTCAGCTACTCTATCTACGGCCCATTTGCCATTAAAACTGCATTTGGAGCAGTGTTGTTAAACGGTAGCAAGATTCACACTATTAGTAGAGAAACCTTTCTGAATCAATTAAGCAATTGCCTGTGTTAATATCTGGCTGCAGGGGTGGGATGCGAAAACTAATTTGCCATGCATCGCTTACAAATTTTCAAGTAAATTATTTTCAAATTGACTCTGCACTTCCACTGTCCGTGACAGGTGTAATTTAAAAGAAAAATTCTAATATATCACTGTCATGCACACCTACCGCAATTTAAGGCTTGGCTTGTTTGGAGCCTGATAACAGTAGTTCTGCTTCCTGCCGATTGAGGATGGAAATTATTGTTGTTTTTTCCTGACTAAATGTGATGCATTTTACAGACGGAAAGCCGAACAGTAAGTCTATGCAAATGTTACCTTTATGACTGCTCTGAATGCAGTAATAACATTTGGCTTGGGGTTTTTTCCACCCCGTGTATGTTTTTGGCAAAGATTTCTTCTAGTCTTCATTCTGTTCTACTAATAACTTCCCTCCTACCTTATTTGTGTGTTTAGTATATCTGCCATAATTTGATGCCAGAGAGGGCTATCTGTGTTAGACTGTTTTGGGCACAACCAACAAAAGGTTCTTCATAATCTCAGCGCAATCCCACATATAAAATTCCACACCCTCTTGAGTAGATTAAGAGGGATTTACAGGCCCAGGATCATAGAATTGTAGAGTTGGAAAAACCATCTTGTCCAACCCCCTGTACTGCAAGAACCTTTTTGCCCAACGCGGGGCTCGAACCCACAGCCTTGAGTCTCATGCTCAACTGACTGATCACCCATAGGCTTCACAAATGGGCAATATATTTTTTTTATTTTTTTTAAATAAATTTTTATTAGTTTTCCACACACAAAATAACAACAAACAATACACCATACACCAACAAACAAACATATAAACATGTATAATTTCATACTCCCATTTTCTTAAACCTTATTTCCTGGACTTCCCCATACCTCCCCTTTTCTGCATCCTTGTTTTAAATTTCTTCAGCAACTCCTCCAATTAACTAATTATTCAAATCAATTCTTTTAATTTCTTCCTTAACTTATTAATTACAGCTGCAATTCTTTGTCCCATTCCCCTGACATCTTAACATTCCTCAATTTTACAACAATTTTAAAGATATATCTTAAATCTCTTCCAGTCTTCTTCCACTGTCTCTTTCCCCTGGTCACGGATTCTGCCAGTCATCTCCGCCAGTCCCATATAGTCAATCACCTTCGTCTGCCATTCTTCCAGCGTGGGTAGTTCTTGTGTCTTCCAATACTTTGCTAAAAGGATCCTTGCTGCTGTAGTAGCGTACATAAAGAACGTCCTATCCTTTCTTGGCACCAATTGGCCCACCATACCCAAGAGAAAAGCCTCTGGTTTCTTAGGAAAAGTCCTTTTAAGAACTTTCTTAATTTCATTATAGATCATTTCCCAAAAGGCTTTTATCTTCGGGCAGGTCCACCAAAGGTGGTAGAAGGTACCTTCAGTCTCATTGCATTTCCAACATTTATTATTGGGCAAGTGATAAATTTTTGCTAGCTTGACTGGGGTCATGTACCACCTGTAAATCATTTTCATAATATTTTCTCTTAAGGCATTACATGC